TCTCTTTTTTATTTTGCTAGAATATGTGCCGCTGCATTTTTGTTAGTTGTAGAGGATGAATTGTTTTCTTAGAAAGCCCAGTGAAAAGAGCATTGCAGTAATTAACGTCTTGTTACGAATGTGCAGGTTTCTCGGTATCACTGTGGGATAGCAGTAGCTGAATTTTAGCAACAGAGCTCTGAATCCCAGGTTTTGTGCTTCATGTATGGAATGTAAAGCAAGTTTCTAGTTTCTCACAAAGCAACTTTCTCTGAAAGAACCAGCAATTCAGTTTTTTCTTGATTTAGTCGTAGAAAATTTTGACATCCACTGAGAAATATCTGATACACTGCTAAGCTGGTTAACAAAGCCTTAATTTTTAGAATAAATTTAAATGTAATTGTGTCAGCATAGCTGGGAAAACTGATATCCTAACATGTACAAAGAGAAAAGCAAAGGCCCTAAAATTGAACCTTGAGGGACTCCACAAGAAATGTTACTTTTTTATAAGTGATTTTCTCAGTAAAACCAAGAACTGTCTTTTCATTAAGTATTATTTAAAACCGCACCTGAGAGGCCCACACACTTTCAAGATGGTGTATCAGAATCTTTTAATTAGATGTACTAAGCTCCAAAAAAGATGAAAAGGATTGGGTGCATCAGCCTCAAATAATGTCTCAAATAATTGATTTGCTACTAGATACTAGAAACATTATTTAATTGAAAATAACCATTCTGTCTAAAGCTTTCTTTAAACAAAGAAGGTTTGAAATGGGTCTAAAATTAAGCACGCCAGCATCTATGCTACTCTTTTTGAATAAAAGTCTTATGCGCTCCCTCTGTGTAGCCAGTGAAGATGTTTGTTTTCATTTGTAGTTCCTGTCTTTTCACCCTACCTCTCTGATCATTCTCTCTCTGTCAGAACTATAATGGAGTCTCTGATGTGGAATTGAGGATAGCCATGCCAGACAAAACCACAGTAACCGTCCGAGTGCGGAAGAATTGCACTACGGACCAGGTCTATCAGGTACTGTACAGAAGTGCACAGCACTGCACAAACCATTTTCACCAGGTGCTGCTACCATACATTGAGTTGCCAGTTTATTTATTATCTTATGCCTGTTCTCACTGGCCTTTTAATCAGGTGCACCCACCATACAGGTGATCTATTACAGACCCCATCTGTTAATGGTTGTATAAGAGTATCAGGTGTAGAGATGTTGCTGAGGTTTTTACACACTGTTTAGTCTCACTGCCCACTTCATTAGAAACCCTTACCTCGTAGCTCCACTTTGCTTGTGAACAGCTAGAGACTAAACCCATTTTTTTATGCATATTTTGCTGTAGCCATTCTCTAGCCAGTGGTCTCATATAACCAGCCAATCTGGCTCACCAGTCAGCTTCTTACGTCATTTACAATTTAAAATAACGTATATAAAATAATATTGCTTTTATTTAAGTATAACCCTATTTCCAAAAAAGTTGGGTGTGCAAAATGGAAATAAAAACAAAATGCAATGTTGTGCAAATCGTTTAAACCCTATATTCCATTGAAATAGTACAAAGACAACATATTAAATGTTGAAACTGAGAATTTTATTGCATGTTGAAAGATATTTGCCCATTTTGAATTTGATGCCAACAACAAAAAAGTTGGGACGGGGCCAACAAAAGGCTGGTAAAGTTGTGTAATGCTTAAAAAACACCTGGTAGTTAATTGACAACAGGTCAGTAACATGATTTGGTATAAAAAAGCATCCCAGAGAGGCTGAGTGAAGTGAAGATGAGGAGGGGTTCACCACTCTGTGAAAAGCTATGTGGGCAAATAGTGCAACAATCCAATAATAATGTCTCTCAATGTAAAATAGCAAAGAACTTCCGCTTTTCATCATCTATGATATATAATAACATTAAAGGATTCAGAGAATGTGGAGAAATCTCTGTATGTAAGGGACAAGGACAAAAACCAGTATTTGCTGACCGTGATCTTTGGGCCCTCAGGTGGCACTGTATTTAAAAACAGACATGATTCTGTAGAGGAAATCACTGCATGGGCCCGGGAACACTTCTGAAAACCACTGTCTATGAACACAGTTCATCACTGCATCCACAAATGCAAGTTAAAACTCTAAAATGCAAAGAAGAAACCATATATGAACAGGATCCAGAAACGCTGCCACCTTCTCTGGGCCTGAGCTCATTTAAAATGGACTGAGGGGAAGTGGAAACATGTCCTGTGGTCTGACAAATCAACATTTGAAATTCTTTTTGGAAATCGTGGACACTGTGTCCTCAGGGCTGAAGATCACTCGGCTGGTTATCAGTGCACAGTTCAAAAGCCAGTATTCATGATGGTATAGGTGTGCATTAGTGCACATGATGTGGGTGACTGGCATATCTGTGAAGGCACCATTAATGCTGAACGATATATACATGTTTTGCCAACATATGCTGCCATCCAGACAACGTCTTTTTCGGGGAAGGCCTTTCTTACTTCAGCAGGACAATGTCAAACCACATTCTGCACATATTACAACATCATGGCTCTGTATTAAAAGAGTTCGGGTGCTAAACTGACCTGCCTGCAGTCCAGACCTGTCGCCACTGAAAATATTTGGTGCATTATAAAATGAAAAATACGACAAAGGAGACCTCAAACTGTTGAGCAGCTGAAATTCGATATCAAACAAGAATGGGAACTCTACAGCAATCGGTCTCCTCAGTTCCCAAACACTTACAGAGCATTGTTAAAAGAAGAGGTGATGTAACACGTGTTGTGGGCATCAAATTCAAAAGGGGCATATATTTTAGAAAAACCAATAAAATTTCTTAGTTTCAACATTTGATATGTTGTCTTTGTAGTATGGTTTACATGATTTGCATATCATTGCATTTTATTTTTATTTACATTCTGCACAGCGTCCCAACTTCTTTGGAAATGAGGTTGTAGTATAAAAGCTATGTAATTGTACTGTTAAATGTAATTTTACTTGATTTAATTGAGCATTAAATTACTTCTTAAGCACTTTCTTATGTGTACTATTGCTAATACTGCTTAATATAATTATTATTAATTTTTTAAGTTTATTATTATTAGTCGTAGTAGTAGTAGCTGCAGTCTGTGTTGGCATAAGAATTGGTAATAAACATTGATTACATGAAGTAGCATAGCACTTAAATGACTATGTTATGCAGTGAAAATTCGTATTTGGTCAGTGATGGTCTTGTGGGCTGCAGTCTGTACAGTCCCTAAATAGTTCTTGCAATTGCTAAGCTTATCTGGGTGTTTTTGCTTCTGAACAGTATCCAGTTGATTTTGCATTTATTTTGTGCATTATCTGATGCAACTGAGCTTTATCCACCAAATGCTTTTCTCAGTTTCTCTGTTCTTTGTGTCACAGGCTGTGGTGCTGAAGGTCGGGATGGACAGTATCACTGCCAGTTACTTTGCTCTCTTTGAAGTCATTAACCACTCCTTTGGTAAGTGTGTTTCATCTCTATAGTTACGAACTATAGAGAGTTATTTGATAGGGGATGTCCCACAAAAACTGCTCTTTCAGGTTTACACAGGATCCTTATTTTCTTAGCAAAGCTTAAATTTCAACACAGTTGTCTTAGACAGAACAAGGCACCCAACTTGCCTATTTGGAATCAAGCTAATTCAGAAGGAGGGACGAGAGACGATTTCTTTCAGCTCAGTTATCAGAATTTCAGCTCTTTAGCCCTTAGTGACATTTTTCAGCCTGGCCCTAAACAGCTCTGGCAGTCCCCAGTTCAAACAACCACAGTTCCAACTGTAACTAGCGTTGTCTTTATTGCTGAGCGCTGAAGGCCATGCTTACAGACAATGAGTGCTAACAAGGTCATTGGCAGCAGAGCAACTGCATAGTTGTAAACAATGCAGAAAATTGTAGGCAGTAATGTCAAATCCCAATTACTGCCCTAGCAAAGGACACTGACACTGTGGATTTGAGTCAACAGAGAATGTCACATGATACATTTTAACTTGTGAGGAGCTTAGTTATATATGAATAATGGTAATATAATGTAGTTTAAATATAATAATAAGTAATCTTTCTTTCCTGAGTGGAGATGTTTAACCCCTTATCCCAAATGTAGTTAGTCAAAGAAGACATTTTTGGCTTATGAGGCTAATGTAGCTTGTAATGGAAGCTTACACCCAACAGTTGGCATCATGCAAACTACATGCTTAGATTAGTCGTGCCTCAAGCTATTATGGGTTGTTGAAGGGCAGTGAAGGACCTGATATTAGAGTATAATGTTATTTGTCGTGTTATACGGTGCTCTTTAACACAGCATTGTATCCATCAGCCTCATCGGATTGACAGAATTTATCATGTGTTGGTTGCATGTTTTTGTTTATCGCAGTTCTCTCACTACAGTATCCAGCATGCATTGCATAAATACAGCATACAGCCATTGATGGTGTCAAGAATAGCCACAAATGAATGCCAGAGATTATTTACTTTATCAGCCAGAGAAGCCAAATTGAGGTGAGATAAGGTAGCCAAGTAACTACGTTGCTAACTTTGAGCCAGTTAGCTTTCTCTTTAGCATTCAGCTTGTTGTAGCTTCTCAGTCATTTTTCTGAGTCCATCTGCTGTACAATTTATTAAAACCCCCCTGGTGGTGTTTAGCAGCATGACTGCTTATGACTTTTTCTAACTCACTGATTGGAGACAGTGTTCCTGGGAAGATCCTACATCAGACAAGCAGTGACTTTGTTTCTGTCTACATTCTCTCTTTCTCAGTGCGAAAGCTGGCTCCGAATGAGTTCCCTCATAAGCTGTATGTGCAGAATTACACATCGGCCGTCCCAGGAACCTGCCTAACACTCCGCAAATGGCTCTTCACCACCGAGGAGGAGATACTGCTCAACGACAACGAACTGGCCATCAACTACTGCTTCCACCAGGTGTGTGTGGTGTGTGGTTGTTGTGTGCGTTTTTTCTGTCTGATTGTATGTGTAACTCTCTCTCTCTCTCTCTCTCTCTCTCTCTCTCTCTCTCTCTCTCTCTCTCTCTCTCCCTCTCTCTCTCTCTCAGGCTCTGGACGATGTGAAGAAGGGATTTATTAAAGCAGAAGAAAAATCATACCAGCTCCAGAAACTGGCTGAACAGAGGAAGATTTCCATGGTCAGTCTCAGCATTATGCCTTTCTGTGTTAAGCCACGGTCACACAGTAAACCAGTCACATTTGGCAATTAATTCAGTTCTATCAAATGATAAAGGAAATTCACCCCGATTATGGGTTGCATAGACCACTCAACCACTTAACTGATAAATCCACTAATCGGCACTGTGGGCAACAGTCTCCTTGTTGAGGACAGTATCTTTATTAGTGTAGAAATACTTCACAAATTTAAGTGCTGTTGCAAGCTGTGTAAGACTGCTCTGAAAGACAAGCTTGTTAAGCCAGACCAGGAAGGTATTGAGAAGCACCATAGGAAAAGGACATGCAAAACATCCGGTCACAGACTGTTTAGCTTGACATGTGCAGGAAAAACTTTAATATCTCTTTAAACTGGGATCTCTGAATTGTTTTGTGGTTAAGTGACTAGGCCTTTATCTCTCTTGGTGAATAGACATGTGACTGCTTGCTGCTAGAATTTAGTTGAGTAAACAGTCATTTGTGTCCTGTCAGGCAGGGCACAGACCAGAGCCCAGGTTAAATTCTGAGAGCTGCAGTTTACATCAGACAGTCTGGGCCTGAGGCTGACACTTGCTGCTATACAACAAAATACTCTTCTGCAGTGCACATATCACACCTCAAGCCACAGTATCTCCCGCTACTTCTAACCTCTATTAGCAAGCTACAAGCAAAATACTTCTCTTTTCCAGAACACTCAGGTTTTTTTTTTACCATGGTAATAATGGCTAGTGAGCTACTTTTTTGAGTGACTAGTTGGCTAGTAAAAAATGATAGTCATGCAGTCTCTAATACCGGTAGCAGTTAATTTTATCTTGGCAACTTTTACCTTATGAAGCTTCTGAAACTTTTCCTTGAAAGGAGAACAGTTTCTTGTAAAATGTCTGTCAACCTTTGCCTTTTTACGAGGCTGAAGTCTTTTTTTTTTTTAAGAGCTGCTCATTTGCCTGCTTCTCATTCGAATGTTCCCGTTCCACCTTTGTATTTTAGAATAAGAAGCTGGTGAATGAGAAGCTGTGTTAACAGTTTCTCGTTGCAGATAAAATGTATCAGGAAACCAGCTGAAGTGATTATAAATGTAAATTCGTCTCCAAATTATCGACGTTCGTCTTAAATCTTTCTCTTTGCCTTCTCGTTAGCTACTAGCTTGCCGTGATTTTTATCTGCGTTGCTGTGGTGACCAGCAGTCTTCGCACCAATCTTCAGAGTTACAAGTTGGTGAATTATGCTACATTAACTCCAGCGTTTAAGACCATTTAGTGTTAAAACTGTCTTAGAACGATCAGTAGAGCTTTATTTTACTGCAAAAAGAAGATTATTTTATTTTTTCCTAAAATTCCGATTCTGCTGTGGAGCAGCAACAGGGCGGTAAAAGAGCCGCATGTTGCCGACCCCTGACCTAGGCGAAGTAAACAGGGAGGACAGTCTGGTGTGACCGTGGCTTCACTCAGCTACTTGGGTATTAAATTTGGTATTGAATGATACAACTTCTCAACACTCTCTCTCTTTCTCTCTCTCCCTGTAGTATCTGAGCATGGTGAGGTCGTGCGAGGGCTATAATGAGATCATCTTTCCGCACTGCGCTTGCGACTCCCGCCGCAAAGGCCACGTTGTCACGGCGATAAGCATCCACCACTTCAAGCTGCATGCCTGCACCGAAGAGGGCACTCTAGAGGTGAGAGAGGGAGAGCGTGTAGTCCTAACAGTTATATTGTGTGTATGTGAGTGCTTTAGGGGTGTAACGATACACCAAAATTCAAAATTAGATTCAGTAGCAATCCAGTAGCTGAAAATCGTCCTTTGGTTAATATGTTAATGTCTCTATTTTTAGTTTATTAGAGCATTCGAGATTATAAATGTACGATATTTGAAGCGAAAGCTGTGCTTTAGAGTGTCTCGATCTAACACTCCACAGGCTAAGACAACATGCTAGTTATGATACAACAATACAATGTGATACAATACAAGAAAATTTTATGCAGTATGATACTTTGTGTTGTTACATTTCTAGTATGTGCACACATGTAACCCCCTCATAGTTATAGTTCAGAAAATAAACAAATTTACACAATTGTCCCCTTACTTCACATGTAGTCTACCAGCCAAGATGTTTTTTTAGTATTGCACTGGAGCTGCAAGATCAACGTAGCTAACAAGTAATGGAAGCTTTTGCTCCAAACTGTACAACTGCATGTCTAAATAATTTTTTAAAAGGAAATAATAATAATAATAAAGAGAAAAACTATTCCATTCAGGCATTAAAATAGCAACATCTTGAGCTTACAGAATTAGAGAATATTTGGTTAAATATTTGGAAATGAAAATGTTTAGTAGGTTTGGAGATAGAAACCCTGAATAGGGCTGGGCAATATGAATATATTCATTGTGGTAACTTATGCCGCAGTAAGTTACACTATGCTTTTCTGATCTTATCGTGGATGTTGTCAGTAGTTTCCCAACTACATTTTTGATACTGCATGTCAAAATCGTTACATTTGCAAACTGCCTTGAGGTGTTAAATAACCTCAAGAGACTTGTGGTTTCTGACACTGTATGACATACTGTTATCTAATAAAAATCAACCAAAGTAGCCTCGTAGCTCCAGTACTAAACTAAATACACACGTTTTAGACACCAAACATGGCTTGGCTAATCAGCACATTTGAACTAAAGGGGAAAATTGTGTATATATGATTTCTGAGTGAAACATCAATTTAAACCCACATAATGACCCATTGCCAGTTCTAGACTTCCATTCCTTGTCTCATTACTTTGCCCCCAAAATGTATTTGGACACTATAACCTTTGGTAAACTTTAACATTCTTAGACGCCTTCATAAAATGAATTAAAATGGTCTGTTTAAAATATTTGCCACTTTGTTTGATATTTTCTTCCCTAATGCTTACATTTTTGGGGCCACTGTATACATTTCAGTTTCATTATAGTTACTGGCTGAAAATCTTATAACTGAATAAGAAGACTGCAGGTTAAGGGGTTAACCACTTTCTCTCTCTTCTCTTTAAACATAGAATCAAGTGATTGCATTCGAGTGGGGAGAAATGCAGAGGTGGGACACTGACGAGGAGGGCATGGCTTTCTGTTTCGAGTACGCACGAGGCGAGAAGAAACCACGCTGGGTCAAAATCTTTACTCCATATGTGAGTCTCTCGCACCGTCTGGCGCTCAGTCTCGCAAACATGCTCACCTACATACTATTCTTTGAACATTAACGACTTTTCTCATTTCCAGTTTAACTACATGCACGAATGCTTCGAGAGGGTCTTCTGTGAGCTCAAATGGAGAAAAGAGGTATGCGGCTTTCTTTAAAGCACAGTGTCACAGTGTGGTATCTGCATAAGCTCTGCTGTAAAAAAAAGCACCAATATTTATGTGAAGCTTGGTGTACATTGTAATTGAATCGATTTTTCTTATATGAGGAGAGTCACTCATTTCTGAGCATTTTGACCATTCCAGGTGGGGATGATATGGGGGTTGTGGGCCGATATCTGATATCATGTACAAATCTGCTTATCCTGATACATAAACATTTATAAGATGTAGAAATTGGGACTAGATTCGTCTAGACCAGGGTCAGCAACCCAAATGTTAAGAAAAGCCATTTTGTCAAGTTTCAACAAAAATCTAACCACTTTCGGAGCCACAACATTTCATGTAAGATTTAAGGTTTAGCTCAGCTATAGCTGCTTTTCTCACATCTGTTCTACTTTCTCTCAAAAGTAGAATATTTTCTTGTACAATGTCTCTCAACGTTCGACTTTTTACCAAGCTGAAGTCAGCTTTTCATTTGCCACCTGCTTTTTTTCCCATTCCACCTTAAATGTAGCTAACTTTGTAGCTAACTGTTGCATCATTTAAGGTGGAACGGGAAAATTCAAATGAGAAGCAGGCGAGCGAGAAGCTGACTTTAGCTTTGCAAATTTTTAGTGCTTGAGAGCTTCTTGTTGCAGATTCAACATATCAGGAAACCAGCTGTGTGCTTATAAATGCAAGTAATGTTCTTGTCCAAATTACCGATGTTCGTCTCCCGTATCATCTGGACTGGTAAACCTGAACTCAAACCACCATCGTCAAAATGACAACAGTATCACAGACATCACTTTTAACATGAGAATAACATGTTATAAAAAAAAACTTTCAATTAAGAGAACTGATGAAAATTAGGAACAGTCAGAGGTAATAGAACCCAACAAAACTCCTAAGAATGCTGAGAAGATCTGCTCCCATGCTACAAAACTTAGCCTATATTATTTAAAACATAGTAAGCTTTTGCTGTTTGAGTTTAAGAAACAATCAGTCATATTCGACAGTTTGCGTTTGACAACTATCAATCATATTAGCTAGTAAGGTGCTGTTTAACTGGAGTCAAATTTTTGACCAGTGTAAAATATATTAGCTAAAATTATGTTGTGTTTTTTTTTTTTGGTTTGTTTTTTTTTTTTGCTCCTTAATATTGGTGTTTGTGACCATTTTTAAAACTATATACATATGCATTAAATTAGAGCTTTATGTTTTCAGGTTGAAGAGGAGGCAACGGATAAAGACAATAAGAACTGTAGTAAAGATGGTATGTGTAGTAAGGTAAGGCTCAGCCTTTCTCTCATTTTCATACTGATCTTCTCTTATGGTTATGAAACTGGCCTTGGTGATAACGATGAGTATAGAAATCAAACATATTTTGTGCACTAATAATCATATTCACTAAAATTTATTCATTGAATGCATTAACGTCACTTTTGAACAGTTGCTATTTTGATACACTAGGCGGCAATGCACATATCTTACTTGCTAGATGTGAAGGAGGAAGTCTTGCCATTCAGTCACAACCCCACAAATCAGCAGGACACTGAGTCTAGCTAAAGTTCGGTAGCATTAGCTATTTTCAGTGTTAAGTTTTATAGAGATAAATAGGTAAATGTCTCAGACAATAGAAAACCTCCTAGAAAAATGTCTTGGTTTTCATTTTCTGGCCCAGTGTAATCTGAATTTAGGTTTTAGTTCTGGTTGGAATTTCAGTGAATCATGTTTACGTCTCATCAAAGTGTTCAAAAATTGAGAAAATGTGTTTTTGTCGTATGTGGATACACAAACACACACCACACAAAGGGGATCCCCACAGTATACTCACCTATCCAGACACTGTTACACAGAATATATACATACAGTAGATCAGACACAGCAGTGTCTTCTGGAGTTTTTAAACACTGTGTCCACTCACTGTCCACTCTATTAGACACTCCTACCTTGTCAGTCCACCTTGTAGATGTAAAGTCAGAGACGATAGCTCATCTGCTGCTGCACAGTTTGTGTTGGTCATCCTCTAGTCCTTCATCAGTGGTCGCAGGACGCTGCCCACAGGACGCTGTTGGCTGGATATTTTTGGTTGGTGGACTATTCTCAGTCCAGCAGTGACACTGAGGTGTTTCAAAACTCCAGCAGCACTACTGTGTCTGATCACACTAACACACCATCACCACGCCAGTGTTACTGCAGTGCTGAGAATGATCCACCACCCAAATAGTATTTGCTCTGTGAGGGTCCATGGGGGTCCTGACCACTGAAGAACAGGGTAAAAGTGGGCTTACAAAGTATGCAGAGAAACAGATGGACTACAGTCTGTAATTGTAGAACTACAAAGTGCACCTATGTAGTAAGTGGAACTAATAAAATGGACAATGAGCGTAGAAATAAGGATATAGTCATAATGTTATGCCTACAATTTTACAGGAGAAGGAAAAAAAAACATACTTTACTTTTAATGTAAGCCAATGTAACTACACTTTTTTTCTAGTTTTGGGCCATTTCCTTTGGTCCATTAATCATGAAATTTGCACACAATGTTAAGGGCAACAGGCATTTTTAAATTTTGTCAAACTGAAAAACTACAAAAATGGAGATACACGTTTTGTTTTGACAGCAGCAATGTTAGTTTCATTGACTATATGAAATAGTTTTGTAAATTAACCCAGAATATGCCTTTTGTTTTTATTAAAGTACAAAACATTATTGTCTTCAAATTATTCAGCATTAGGAAATTATATGCAATAATTATCACTTTTAAAAATAAGGAAACTTATAGAAAAATAAGCAGTGGTAACATTTTGTACCCAGCCCTTTTTAAAGTGGATGCTTCTCTTGTGTTGCAGAATATCTTCCAGCTGTTGAGACACAGAAGGGATGGAGGCACCTGAGACATGAACTCATCGCCCCCTGAAAATACGCAATCACATACGTACACAAGCACATACACTCACATACATATGCACACCTGAACAGGCTCAAAAGAAGACCGGATCAAACCACATCACGTACGGGTTGACGCTTCCAAGACAGTCTACCCACTAACACACAGCACATATTCAAAAGACAACCAAAAAAAAAACAGGAAACAAAAAGAAACATTTTCAGAACCACAGTACAAATATGGAGACGAGCAAATTAAAAGACTTTTTTCCAGATTTCATCCATTCATCACCTCTTTTAGTCAAGACTGGACTGACTTGAATCATTCTTTCGGTGGCAAAAAGCATCCAACGTGATCGAAGAGAAGAAACTGACAAGACCGAACCATAAGCCTGGCTGGATTCCGTAAGGATATGTGCGTTATGATTGGTCGGTGAAACAAGAACTCGAAACTTGATTGCCTCTTGACATCAGCCTCTGCGCTGTGATTGGTCTGTGAAGGTGACGCTCCCAAGTTTGATTGGCTCTTCAGCTCTGCCCCTGAGATCAGATTGGTCCTGGTGACTAAAGCATGCAGCCAGACTCACAAAGAGCCAATCTCGTTGGTTACTTTGGCCTGTGAACATTTCAGCCTAGACTTACGAAGCCTGGAGCCATGTCATTGGGGAAAAAGAAGGAGAGAGAAAGAAGATGGAGGTGAAAAGTGAGCTTAGATATAGCCAGGAACCTTCAGTAGTGAGACTAACTACTTCATTCTGACACTAACACACGCATAAACCATGTGGCGTCGAATATGAAACGCTCCCTTAGAATGTGTTAGCACAAAGTACCGGGACAACGTCAAGAAGGAAGAGTGGCATTCATTCATAAGTGTAGATATAACGACACTCCACAGTCTATCAGGACAAGCAGAGCAGATGATGGCAGAAGAGAAGTTTGAAAAATGGACAAATGACACGTTCCTGTGTACTGGCAGCAAGAATATTTACACTCGTTTTTTTTTTTGTGCTTAATTTCTCCTATTTAAAGGGGCACTCCAGCCACATCAAAAAAATGTGACCTTTACTTACACCTGTTGTAGACATGGCTACTCGGTGCCTACAGTGCTGTCCCTAGAACAAGATTTTATAGTTTAAAACAAGAAAACCCCCTTCTGATGATGCGTTGTGAAGGTGGCAGGAAGTGAAAACACTATAATATCTTTGAGGCTTTACTTAAGGGCTGTTTGAAATGTGTTTTTCTGTTAGCTGACTAATTCAGAAAGAAGCCAGATAGCTAGAGTAACTGCTAAGAAGCCCATATTTTTTAGCCTCTGAGCTAGCAGGGTTTCTTTATCACCTTGGATGTATGACGTGTTTGCGTAATGCATGCTGGGTATTGTAGTGAGAGAACATTGGATGAAATGGATAAAAACACAATACAAAATTGTGAATTCTGTGAAACCAGTGAGGCTGAGTGAAGCAAAGCTGCGCAGAGAATACTACGTAACATGACGGATAAATGCCAGTTGTAGGCCGGAATGCCCCTTTAAGCTTTCTAGGCTACACTCTTAAAGATGGTTCCTCAAGGGTTCTTTAGTAAGGAAAATGATTCTATGTAGAACTATGAACAGTCAAAGAACCCTCTGCAGGGTTGCTTCATAAAAGAGTTCCTCAGACTGATGGAGAATGTGCTATAGATGGTTTTATATCAGACATCAATAGAAGAACCCTTTTGGGTGCTATATAGAACCCTTTTCAAAAAGTCTACAGCACATTCATGCACATTTTTCAATCTGAAGAACCCTTTCATGATGCAAAGAACCCTTGAAGCATGCAGAGGGTTTCTTGACTGTTCATAGTTCTATAGCAAACCATTTCCTTTACTAAAGAACCCTTGAAGCACCATCCTTTTTAAGAGTAGTATATTTTATCATGGGCTTCAGTGTGTGTACATGGATTTTTTAGTTTTGTTCTGCTTTTTTTTTTGTTTTTGTTTTTTTTTTTATAAACTGGACAAATGAGCTGTTAACAGTATTATGAACAAGGTCTAAACCTAAAATGGAAAGTTTTTATTTTTAGACCGTGGCTACATGATATTTTTTTAAACTGGCCTAATGCTGCTTTAAAGTGGTCTTGGTCTTATTAGAGAAAAGCGTTTTCCCTCCAGGAGACACCACACAAACAGCCTTTCTACAAGAATGTGGAAAGGTGTTTTAAGTCGGAAACATTTATGCAGCATATCACACGGTGCACAATAACTGTTCGTTTTAATTGTTTAGATATTTTACATCAAACAGAATGTGCTGTAATGTGGTGAGACGCAATATACGCACATAACCGACACATCAAACCCGTTGATGCTCATCCTGCTCGCTCTACTCTCTCAGTCTGGACAAATATTATGCAAAAGAGCTGAGCGACAACTAATCAGATTGTTTGTATGTGATAACTGATTGGGTCACACCTGTGGTCAAGCTACACTTTGAGATATAAGACTCAAACGCACGCCGAGTAGGAGATATAATGGTTAAAAAACAGCAGGAACATCCTTTTTTAATGTTAAAAAAATGTTAGGTGGCTTCGGGGCTCAGGAATAGCATACAACACCACATAAGCCGATTTAGGGGTCCAGCGTGAAACTTGTGTTTTGGCAATGCATCCGCAAGTTTGCGAAGAAAGCGAGGCTGCTCGCTGCAATGAAAACACTTAAACAATGCATGGCTACAGCAGATTTCGAAAATGAATATAAATAACTCTTAAAAATACTAACTCGACAATATTTTAAGCACGCAGGTTTTTACTATGCTCTACTATTGCTAAACTATTTTACAGTTCAGTTCTTTTATTTATTGTTTTTATTCTGAAATCTGGGACTGCCCCCTCCCCTCACTCCACAGCACCCCCACTTCACTTGTCGACTGCCCTCTGGAGTTGGATAACGTATTGAAATGGCCAAGTTGTGAAGCACCATTTTCATCATGGCTTATTAAATAAGCAAGTCCAACAATGGAAAACAATCAGATAACTCTATATAAATATAAATGGTAAAAGTACATTTAAAACATGTACAAGTATCCCACATTTTATTTCTGCTACATTTGAGTTCAGAAACGCCAAAAAAGCCGAAACCAGTAGATGACGTCTAGTTAATAAACAACAACCATTTCGTAACCTCCATGTTTTCATTCATGTCCCACATAAACATGCAAATATGGTGAACAACTGGTTTGCACTTGAAAGCAGCATTAGCCAAGCCTCAAAATCAGGGGTCTCAAACTAAAATGACCTGCCAGATGGGAGGGACAGTTAAAAAAATTCAGGAGAAAAAAAAGTAAAAATATTTTTTCTTAGTATGAATTTTGACTATATAAAATTTTTGATCTAACGCTTTGTAATGTTGTAAAATAATATATGGTATTAATTTTATCCACATAACATATTCACGCGCATCACACCCAAGCAATTCTTCTGTCAAAACAAACCACACCTGCTACAAAAAATTATAATATAAAATTATATTGTAATTATTATTATTATTAATAATAATAATAATAATATTATATAGATTATTAGTAGTACAAATAGTGTGTAATACACATTTTAATGTTTAATTAAATCATGCACAGAATTTAACAGTAGCATTATATGTGACTCTTATTTTGCTAGCAGTTCCAGCTGAATGCAGGTGAAGTTATTGCGAGTAAAATGTTGCCAAAACAAGCGGATAAATAAGTCAATTCATTTCAGAATTCTGATGCGCTGTGTCTACACATTTGTCATGAATGAATCCACGGCGGCTGATTAAACTATCGGTCCAAATTAGAATAATAGCCAAGTTATTTCGAGTTAATTTGTAACCATTCCTGCACAGTTCATGCTACAAATATATATTTATATGCAAATATAAATATAAACATTTAACCACAGAATATTAAATGACTTGGGACAGATTTTAAGCAACACTACATACATTTTGGGGATTTGGAGACCTCTTTGGTGGGAATGTGTAATTGCATACAACATGCGGAAGAACATTTTATAAAGTCGGCTGTGCTTTGGACCCTTTCACCGAGCAGATGAATCTGATGAGCGTGTTAAATGAGCGATCAAAGAGAACTCGGTCAAAACTTGGTGAAGGACGTGTCTTCTGAGGACGATGTAAATGTGACGAGCTGTATGAGGCGGTCTTGCAGGCTGGTAGTTTGAGACCCCTGCTCGAGATGGATTAAAAAGGTGGAACGAGTAGCAATTTTTCTTGTTTTCGGCTGATTGTGTGTCTTTAATGTTTTGTTTTTTAAGCACCGCCAGTGCTGTAAAACCTGAAGTCTCACACTGGATATATCCAGTGCAGTCACACAACACTAACGCCTGTTTTGAGGCATCTTCTACAATGGGATGTCCATATGTGAGCGTTTGTTGGTCCAGTGCGTGTCCGTCTGTGTTTTGAAGCCATCTTTATTTAAAAATTGATTTATTTTGAGGCGGATGCTTTTTATTTTTAGTTCCACAGGTGCGTTAAACAAGTGTTTTTCATTACTTTCTGTGCTTTTTGTTTTGTTTGTTTGTCGTAAATGTGGAATTTTGGGGATGATATTCTCGATGTGAGTGTTTGCTACGGTAGCTAGTTTAACTCACAGAGGATCCATTGCCTTTCCCCATTACTGCCATTTGTCCTCATTGTATACTTTTTTTTTTTAACGTCAGTTTCCTTTAGCGCAGGCGCATAAGAACTGGGTACAAGAGCCCAGTGAGGTTTTGCACTTAATAGTATTATCTATGTGTTTGTGAAACAGAGCGATTGTGGCATCTGCAGTTCTTTTTTCGCTTTTATTTCCCCTCAGTTTGAGGTTTTGTGCATCACCTGGTTCATTAACTCAAAAGAACAATCTGATGTAACACCTTTTCTTTACATTTCAGACAGTTCTGCTGCATATCATGTGTTGCCAGTCTTTTTTGTCATGACTTCTAAACAAAGCTGGTTTATACAGGGTGATTCAAAAAGATTCATCCGATTCAAAATGATTTATTTCACTTGTACAGAACAATGCAGCATATTGTAAATGGTTTAAGTGAACATAAAGTTTATTATGTAATTTTAAAAGTGCTCAGCATGAACCTCCACCAGCTGTACGGACAACATCAACACCATAGTCAAATTCATCCCGTACTCGATTGAGCATGTCCAGTGTCACTGTACTCACGGCTCTTTCAGTGTGATTTCGGAGATCATCCAGTATTG